ACAGGCACCCACTACCACCCATCGGTTTAACTCACAACATTCTTTTATCCGTCATAACTCTTGACACATAACAGATGTCTGGGTACCTTGAGTTAACTTGAAACTGTATTTGATGTTTGCCATGGGCTCTTTTAACTGGGTACAGAGGGATACAAAGAGAGTCTGTTTTCACTTTGAGAAACTCTACATTATATTAGCGAACTCGAGAAAGTAAAGATTAGAATTCCTTCATTTTTAAAAGCCAAAATGCCGCTATTGTACCTTCATTGATTGTTCAGTATCTTAAGACATTTTTATGTTTATACATTCTTTTTTATAGATACAAATATTTAAGTAAATGCTCTGTTTATAATAAACAGTATTAACAATATATACCGGCTTGAATGTCCGAGAAATTGTCATAGAAAATATGCGTCCTCCGGCAGGAATGGAACTTGTCATATACGGAACCGTCATATAGCCTGACGTGCTTTTACCGATTTCGTCACAGAGCAGCGCTCGGTTAGTAAGGTCGATATTACTGTTTTTAAACTACAATCTTCCATGATTTTCTCAAGTACATTCATATTTGCTCGATGCGTATCCAAATGTAAACGTCGAGCAGATATGAATGTACGTGAGAAAATCATTTTGTCATTTCAACTGGAAAAAGATGAGACCTTGCCGCCGATCTCGTCGCGATCGTTCGAATCCCGTAACCCACCAAACTAGCCTGATGGAACACAACCTTCTGCAGGCCGGTTTTAATTCAGAGTTTGCCTTCTCCCACCCAGTAACCCAATCTGTCCGGCTATTTACCCAGAGCTGGAGGTGGGGCGAGAAAAGTGGTTTTATACCTTTCCTAAGGGTATTAGCATGTAAGTGAATGTAATGGATCTGACTGGAATTCGAACTCGGCTCTACCGATTCCACAATCCGAGGCGCTATCAATTACGATATTTATTTCTGTTAAAATACAGAAAATGTGGCACAAGGTCTAAAAAGGGGGATGGGGAAAAAGACGGTCTTCATCTGTCTTAACTTTAAACTTAGCTAGCCAGAAACACTGACCCAAACATACCATAAATTTCTTAAAACCAAAATAACACATTTTTACTACATCCACCTTAATACCTCATAGTCTCTATGAAAATCCTAACTAGTCTCCGTATATACAATTCCCCATAGCATAGAGCAATATTTATTCTGATATGTACACAGAAATGTGGCACAAGACCGAAGGGTGGATTGGGGAAAGGACTGTCTTCATCTGTCTTAAGTTTAAACTTAGCTAGCCACAAACACTGACCCAAACATACAAACAATATTCCTAACACCAAAACAACACTTACTAACCTTTCTTACTACATCCACCATAATACCTCATTGTCTCTATGAAAAAACTAAATAATCCCCATATGTACAATTCGTTGTCTGTGGGGGGGGGGAAATAAAAACAACAAATTAAAAAATCCCCAATGAGTATGTACAATATGAATATAATCTATTTACAAGAAATTAAACAAAATAATGTTAGTAATACCCCCCCCCATCAACAATGCTTAAATGTGGCAGAAACATCAGTAAACTGGGCGAAATCAATGCGGGACTATAAAAAATATAAAAAAAAACATTCATTCATCCCTAGCACTCACACAGACACACACTCATTCAGACACGACAACAAAAACGAAAAACACACAGGCGAAAAACGAAAAACATCCCGCATCCACCAGAGAACTAACATCACTGACCACCTAACGAGGGACGGGATGGGGAATTAAAGGTGCTATCCATTACTCCACCGATCGTGCTTATATTCATACTTTAGGTACCATAGAGGAATGTAATGTTTATTTTGTAAAATACATGAATGTGGCACAAGGCCAAGAAAGGGGATGGAGGAAGGGCCGGTTTTCATCTGTCTTATAATTAAACTTAGCTAGCCACAATTACAAACCTAAACATACCACATATTACACCAAAACAACACATTCTTGCTTGCTTTTCTTATTACAGTCACCATAATACCTCTAGGTCTCTATGAAGTCCTAACTACTCCACATAAGTACAATTTGTCTGTGGGGAATAAAAATAACAACTTTTAAAAATGAACACCCCAATGAAAATTACATAGAGGAAAGTTAATCAGGACAATTACCAAGAAAATATTTACAGAAAAAGCACAGGGAAGATATATATTAAGGCGGTGTGAAAGTGACTGAAGTCGAGATGCCAGGTCAGGATTAATGATATTGCAGATTCTTCTTTGGATGTTATCAAGAATCTCAAAATATATAGCAGGAGCACCAGACCATATATGGCAGCAATATTCTAAACATGGACGAATGGTAGACTTATAAATATGTAAGATAGATTCTGGCGAGAAAGAGATATCTAGCTCCACACAGTGAATCGATTTTTCTATCAATAAACCTAATTCAATATAATCTTCTCACTTTTTTTTATTTGGTATCACCCCATGTAAGGCAGTAAAGCCACTAAGACACAAGGGGTTACAGGTGTGGAAGAATTAGGAACAGAAATATTAATAATGAACGGGAAGAGAAAAGAGTAATAAGAAGGACAGTAGAAAGCGATTGACATTGCATTTAAATTTTTGAAGATTAAAGCTGGCTGGAAAACATGAAGATGAAAGGGAGTTCCACAAGCGAGAAGTGCGAGAAAAGAAACTGTTAGCATAGAACTTACGGTTAAATCTCACCAGCTCAACTGTAAATCGATGAGATCTCGATGTCAGTCTAGTACTACGCTTAAATTCGTACAGTTTAAGGGACTATAGTGAAGAGCGATATTTATTTGTACAATGATACAAAATGTGGCACAAGGCCAAAATGGGGAATGGGGGGGGTATGGACGGTCTTCATCTGTCTTAACATTAAACTTAGCTCGCCACAAACACTGACCCAATCATACAACAATATTCCTTACACCAAAACAACACATTCATACTTACCTTTCTTAGTACATACACCGTAATACCTCATTGTCTCTATGAAAATCCTAACTAGTCCCCATATGTACGATTCATTGTCTGTGAGGAGAGGGGAATAAAACAACAATTTAAAAATTAGCCTTAATGAATAATTACAATATGAAAACGAAACTATTTACTAGAAAACAACTAAAATAATGTTAGTAATAATCCCCACCCCACCAACCTTAAATGTGGCAGAAACATCAGTTAACTGGACGAAATCAATGCGGGACTATAATAATAAAATTAAAAAAAAAAGAATTAATTCATCCTAAGCACTCTCACAAACACACACTCAGACACAACAACAAATACGAAAAACACAGCCGAAATGAAAGGCGCCCAGCATGCACCAAAGAACTGACATCCATGATCACCTAACGAGGGAGGGCGCTAACAATTAACATAAATAGAAAAGCCACAGAGAGGCAACCTTACGCGGCGAGAAAGTGACTGTAGGCGAGTCGCTAGATCAGGACCGATAATATTGTTGATTCTTTTTTGGATTTTATCAAGAAGCTCAAGGTAAATAGCAGGGACACCGGACCCTATGTGGCAGCAATATTCTTATCATGGACGAATGGTAGACTTGTAGATATGTAAGATAAATTCTGGACAGAAACATTATCTCACACGACATAGATAACCGATTTTATTAGCAGCTGACCTAACAATGGATTTAATCTAGTCTTTTCCCTTCATGTCAGCTGAGAACGTTAGCCTGAGTAGGCGCAAAGAGTAACTCTCCTGGTGGTTAGCATCAGCCATGCTGATAGAAGAAAGAGAGGTTTCACTTAGCCGATTACTAGAGAGCAGTTTCGTTTAGTTTGGTTTGGTTTGTTTTGTTTTATCAACCTTATTTAATGCCGACAAGATTTTATTGCTGGTAATATTTTTTCCAAAAAGTATTGCTGATAATTTTTTTTTTTTTTAAATTCATTGCTGGTAATAAATTTTACAAAAATGTATTGCTAGAAATAAAACCTATTTTTCTACGTTTTGATTCCAATTTGGGGGTTAACTATTTGCCCATAGCTGGGAACCTAACAGGTGCTACCATCCCAGGTCAGGGTGAACCTGGGAACACCAGCGATTAAGAGGTGGTTCCACGCTCCCCCAAACCTTCTGAGCAGAAGGCTGGCTGCCGGATGTTGTTTATCGCCTTACCCAGGACACGGATGTAGTTTATCGTCATCTTACCCAGGACACGGATGCAGTTTTTCGTCTTACCCAGGACACAGATGAAGTTTCTCGTCTTAGCCAGGAGACAGATGCAGTTTCTCGTCTTACCCAAGACACGGATGCAGTTTCTCGTCTTACCCAGGACACGGATATAGTTTCTCGTCTCACCCGGACACGGATGCAGTTTCTCGTCTTGCCCAAGACACGGATGCAGTTTCTCGTCTTACCCAAGACACAGATGCAGTCTCTCGTCTTACCCAGGACACGGATGCAGTTTCTCGTCTTACCCAAGACACAGCTGCAGTCTCTCGTCTTACCCAGGACACGGATGCAGTTTCTCATCTTACCCAAGACACAGATGCAGTTTCTCGTCTTACCCAGGACACGGATGCAGTTTCTCGTCTTACCCAAGACACAGATGCAGTTTCTCGTCTTACCCAGGACACGGATGCAGTTTCTCGTCTTACCCAAGACACAGATGCAGTTTCTCGTCTTACCCAGGACACGGATGCAGTTTCTCGTCTTACCCAAGACACAGATGCAGTTTCTCGTCTTACCCAGGACACGGATGCAGTTTCTCGTCTTACCCAAGACACAGATGCAGTTTATCGTCTCATCCGGACACGGATGCAGTTTCTCGTCTTACCCAGGACACGGATACAGTTTATCGTCTCATCCGGACACGGATGCAGTTTCTCGTATTGCCCAAGACTCGGATGCAGTTTCTCGTCTTACCCAGGACACTGATGCAGTTTCTCGTCTTACACGGGCACGGATGCAGTTTCTCGCCTTACCCAGGACGGGGTTCATTTAGGAGATGTTAAAATGAATAAGTGTAAAAATGAAATCAGTTTTAAAATATTTTTCTAAATTCTCTCCTTTCTTTTCTCTATCCTTTATTCGTTCATCTCTTTGTGACGCCTTCCTCTCGTTTTCCTATTGTTTTCCTTGTATTCTCTTTTCTTCTTTCTCTCTTTCTCTCTCCCCTATTAGTCATGTCTATCTTGCTTTCTTTTCTGATTTCACGTTTCCTTCTCACAATCTCTCTCTCCCATTTTCCTTCCTTCACTTTCTGCTTCTCTCCTTTCTTTCTCCTTTCCTTCGTTCTTATCTTTTTTCCCTCTTTTCTTTTCCGTTTCTATTTTTATTCTTCCTTTTCTTTCCTTTTTTTTGTCATTTTTTTAATCTTCCCTCTCACTTTTTTTTGTATCTTACGGCCACCTCACGTTGAAACATCGGTTCCTGTATGATCACCGAAGTTAAGCAACGTTGAGCCTGGTCACTACCTATATGAGTGACCGCGTGGGAATGCTGTAAGGTTAGATTTGTGAGTGGCATAGTGGAAAATAGCGCGGAATTGTTAATCGGAGAGCCAAGTTCTAATTCCCGTTGTGTTTGTTATATTTACTTACGCGCCTTTCGGAAAGGTATGAATCCACCCCTCCCCCCAGATATGGGTTAATTAGTAAAACTGGTATCACTAAATCATTATTATAAAAAAAAAGCATTTTTACAATCTAAAAATTATTTTCTGGCTTTAAATAACCTTAAAGGCTTAATAAACCGTTGAAAACGAATCGGTCAATCAATGAAATCCTGAGGCATGTCTTTTAGATTCATTTACATTCTCTGGAATATAAATGTATAGAAACTAACAAAGTGAGGGATCAGTTTATATATCAATTTGAATATAGAATTGATCCCCCACTTTATATCTACATTATAATGTTTGTTGATAAGCCGTAGAAAACGAATCAATCAGTCAATGAAATACTGATTAGCTACACAGGCATGTCTTTTAGATTTACATTCTCTGGAATATAAATATATAGAAACTACTGTGAACGCAAAGTGAGGGATCAGTTTATACATTCATTGTAATATAGAATTGTTCACTCACTTTATGACCACGTTATAATTTCTCGTTTGTTTATCAAATTCTGATTAATTATAAATCCATCCCTTCTCCCCCAGTTACGTGTTAATTAGTAAAAATTTTATCTTTAAACTATTATTTATTCAAAAAAACATAATCTAAAAGATATTTTCTGGCTTTAAATAGCCAAAAAAGGGTTGATAAACAGCAAAATACAAATCGATCAATCAATCTCTCTCTTCTCTTATCCTTTCGTTTGTTGCTTCTTTTTTTTATTCCTTTTTTCTTTCCATCTTTTGTTGGTTTTTTTCTTTGTTTTTGTCTTCATTCTTTCTCTCTTCCTTCTTTCCTCCTTCGTTTCTGTTTTTATTTCTATCTTTCTTTCTACCTCTCTTCTTTTTTTCCTTCTTTGTTCTTACATCATCATCATCATCTTGTTGTTGTTGTTGTTCTTCTTGTTCTTCTTCTTGTTCTTCTTCTTCTTTTTTTTCTTCTTCTTCTCTCGTCTCTCTCTTTCCTTATGCTTTCCTTTGTTCTTTCCTCTCTTTCACTGCCATCTTTTTTCTTTCCCTCTTCTTGCTTCTCTTCTTTCTGTCTATTTTCATGTGTTGTTTTCTTTCTAAATTATCTTCATTCATTTCTTCTTTCTTCCTATTTTCTCCCTTTCTCCTTCTCAATCTTTTCACGTTCCTACTTCCTTTCTTTTCCCTGTCATCTTTTTCCTTCCCTTCGCTACTCTCATCCCTTATTCTCCATTTCCTCTTTCCTACTTTCCTTCGTTCGTTCGTTCGTTCGTTCGTTCCTTCCTTCCTTCCTTCCTTCCTTCCTTTTCCCTTCGTTCGTTCCTTCCATTCTTCCTTCTTTTCTTCATTCCTTCCTTCCTTTTCTACCCGTCTTTTCTTCCTTTTCACTTCCTTCCTTCCGTCAATCCTTCCTTCTCTTTCCTTCCTTCCTTCTTTCTCTACTACTTCCTTCTTTCTTCCTTTCTTTCCTTCTTTTCTTCGTTCCTTCTTTTCTTCGTTCGTTCGTTCGTTTGTTCCTTCCTTCTTTCCTTCCTTCCTTTTTTCATTCCTTTTCTTCTTTTCTTCCTTCGTTCGTTCCTTCGTTTGTTCCTTTGTTCTTTCTTTCTTTCTTTCTTTCTTTCTTTCTTTCTTTCCCTACTTCCTTCTTTCCTCCTTCTTTCCTTCTTGCCTTTTTTCTTTCTTCCTTCCTTCCTTCGTTCCTTTGTTCTTTCTTTCTTTCTTTCTTTCTTTCTTTCTTTCTTTCCTTCCTCCCTTCCTTCGTTCCCTACTTCCTTCTTTCCTCCTTCTTTCCTTCTTACCTTTTTCCTTTCTTTCTTCCTTCGTTCGTTCCTTTGTTCTTTCTTTCTTTCTTTCTTTCTTTCTTTCTTTCTTTCCTTTCTCCCTTACTTCGTTCCCTACTTCCTTCTTTCCTCCTTCTTTCCTTCTTACCTTTTTCCTTTCTTTCCTTCCTTGGTTCGTTCGTTCGTTCCTTCTTTTCTTCGTTCTTTCCTTCCTTTCCTTCCTTCCTCTCGCTCTCTCATTCCCTTCCTTCCCTAATATTAACGTTTGATATCGCTTGTCTTTTTGGACACGTATGTTCACCTAGAATGACAAAGATTGATTACTTTTCAACAGCGATTACTGTTAATTCTGATTGAATTCAGACCAAGTTCTTCGTAATCGATTTTCACATGAAGACCGATTGATTAAAAGCCAGTTGCTTGGCCAGGGAAGGAATCAATGGATGGGCTGGCGGTACATGGGGTATCGGCGACTGGCTCTAATAATGTTCCTGCGCGAAAAAGATAAGAGACAAATGGAAAAATCGTAGTTACGTTCCGATAAAAATCTATAAGCAAGGAAGAACAGAACCACGTTTTCTGATTTTTTTTTTTAATTGTTTAGAATTTTTTTTTTAGGAGACGCGATTTTGAGAGGCGTAATCGATATTTCAATAGAATCATCATTAATCAAGTCTTTCGATCACCCCCACCCCTGTTACCTTTTCTAGATTTGTGGGGAGGTCGAATTAGATTGGCACCAAAATGGTGGCGATGTCAGTAATCACGGAAAGAGGGAGGTTAGTTATGGAAGAAAGATTATGGCGAAGGGGTTGCTGTAATAATAATAATAATAATAATGGCAGGTCTAATACCATCAAAACTACTACGATGAGAACACAGTCTTTCTCCTTTCCCCTCTTTTCTTAATAATAATAACAATAATAATAATAATGGCAGGTCGAACGCCATCACCACTATTACGATGCTGGTACAGTCATTCTCCTTTCCTCTCTTTTCTTAATAATAACAATAATAATAATAATAATAATAATAATAATGGCAGGTCTAACACCATCACCACGACTACGATCAGAGTACAGTCTTTCTCCTTTCTTTTCTTTACTTAAAAAAAAAATAATAATAATAATATTGGCAGGTCTAACTCCATCACCACTACTACGATGAGAGTACAGTCTTTCTCCTTTCCTCTCTTTTCTTAATAATAATAATAATTATTATGGCCGGTCTAACACCATCACCACGCCTACGATCAGAGTACGGTCTTTCTCCTTTTCACTCTTTATTAAAAATAATAATAATGATAATGGCAGGTCTAACGCCATCACCACTTCGATGAGGGTACAGTTTTTCTCCTTTCCTATCTTTACTTACTTACTTAATAATAATAATAATAATAATAATAATAATAACAATGGCAGGTCTAACACCATCACCACAACTACGATCAGAGTACAGTCTTTCTCCTTTCTTCTCTTTACTTAATAATAATAATAATAATTGTAATAATAATAATAATATTGGCAGGTCTAACTCCATCACCACTACTACGATGAGAGTACAGTCTTTCTCCTTTCCTCTCTTTTCTTAATAATAATAATAATAATAATAATGGCAGGTCTAATACCATCACCACTACTACGATGAGAGTACAGTCTTTCTCCTTTCCTCTCTTTTCTTAATAATAATAATTATGGCCGGTCTAACACCATCACCACGCCTACGATCAGAGTACGGTCTTTCTCCTTTTCACTCTTTATTAAAATAATAATAATAATGATAATGGCAGGTCTAACGCCATCACCACTACTACGATGAGGGTACAGTTTTTCCTCCTTTCCTATCTTTAATAATTAATTAATAATAATAATAATAATAATAATAATAATAATAATAATAATAATATTAATAATAATAATATAATGGTCTAACATCCATCACCGCTACTACGATAAGAGTACAGTCTTTCTCCTTTTCCTCTCTAACTTTACTTAATAATAATAATAATAATAATAATAATAATAATAATAATAATAATGGCAGGTCTAACACCATCACCACTACTACGATAAGAGTACAGTCTTTCTCCCTTCCTCTCTCTACTTTTAATAATAATAATAATTAATAATAATAATAATGTCTAACACCATCACCACACCTACGATCAGAGTACGGTCTTTCTCCTTTTCAACACCATCACCACGCCTACGATCAGAGTACGGTCTTTTGCTCTTTATTAAAAATTAAAATAATGATAATGGCAGGTCTAACGCCATCACCACTACTACGATGAGGGTACAGTTTTTCTCCTTTCCTATCTTTACTTACTTACTTAATAATAATAATAATAATAATAATAATAATGGCAGGTCTAACACCATCACCGCTACTACGATAAGAGTACAGTCTTTCTCTTTTCCTCTCTTTACTTAATAATAATAATAATAAGAATAATATTAATAATAATAATAATAATGGCAGGTCTATTACCATCACCACTACTACGATGAGAGTACAGTCTTTCTCCTTTCCTCTCTTTTCTTAATAATAATAATTATGGCCGGTCTAACACCATCACCACGCCTACGATCAGAGTACGGTCTTTCTCCTTTTCACTCTTTATTAAAAATAATAATAATGATAATGGCAGGTCTAACGCCATCACCACTACTACGATGAGGGTACAGTTTTTCTCCTCTTTTCCTATCTTTACTTACTTACTTAATAATAATAATAATAATAATAATAATAATAATGACCAATGCTAACGAGAAATTAGCAGGCAGATACTGAAACACCGTTAGCCCCAAAATCAGATTCTGTGATAATTATCCAGAAACCATTGACCATCTTGTAATTGGTTGCACTGTATTGGAACACATTGAATTTAAAACTTGTCTTGACATCTTTGGCTAATATCTGCCAGTTTTACAGAAAGGAAACTGGCAAGAAATTGGTATAAACACCATCCAGACCCGGTTACAGAGATAGGACCTGTAACAATTTTTTGGATCAATCAAAGCTAATCGCCCAGACATCGTGATCAAAGACCACAAAAACAGAATGTCCCTGCTTATTGACATGGCAGTCCATGCAGACTGTAATGTGCGTCTGAAGATATTAAAAAAAAAAAAAACTATCAAAATACAAGGATCTTGTAATCAGAATCACAAAAAGGTGGAACATGACGACATCATCAATTCCAATTGTTGTTGGAGTCCTCGGATTGGTTGGAAAATGTTCCGATAGACTTATTGAAGAGATCCCTTGTAGCCCAAGCCTTAACAAAATACTACAAATTGTACGCACAAAGATAGGTTAGATATTATGAAGAGTAAAATATGTGTTCTTAGGATTTTTTTTCCAAAAAGGTGCCAATTGGAAAATGACATGATTCCATTTCTGACCTTAGATCTCTAGTTGAGTATACAACAGAAATCAAAGGAAATAAAATAGCAATAATAATAATATTATTAACTGCTGACTGCAATGTATCTTTGAAGATAGTCAAAAAGCTGTCAAAATACAAGGACCTTGAAATAGAAATCTCGAAAATGTGGCATATGGGAACACCAACAATCCCTGTTGTAGTTGGAGCCCTAGGATTGGTTGGAAAAGATTGCAGTAGACTAAATGAAGGGATTCCTGGAAGTCCATGCCTCAAGAAGATGCAAAAAATTGTTCTGACAAGTACAGCCCACACTTTACGAAGGGCTTTATCTATGTAATTTAATTTTTTTTGTCAGTGGAAAGTGTCATGATGCCATTTCTAACCTTAGGTCCCTGGGCGGGACCCGGAAAGAAATGTGTAAACGCCAGAAATCAAAGAAAATAATAATAATAATAATAATAATAATAACAATAATAATAATAATGGCAGGTCTAATGCCATCACCACGACTACGATGTGAGTACAGTCTTTCTCTTTTGCTCTCTTTACTTACTTACTTACTTACTTACTTACTTAATAATAATAATAATAATAATCATAATAATCCCAGATCCGAAGGAGGCAGAGGATTAGTTCAACTAGAACTGTCCTACAAAACTACAACAATTGGCCTCCAAAGATATTTGGAAACTACAGAAGACTGGATGATGGTATGCGTCAAGGAACATGAAAGTAGTAAGCGTCTTTACTCTGTAATGAAAGAAGCCAACAAATTCAAAATGGAGTTTCAAATGGGCGTAGAGATGCAACTACAGCACAATAGACCGGATGAAACTGCAAAATACCTAAAAAAGATATCAAAGACGAATGCAACCGACCAGATACAGAAGCGATGGCAAGATAAACCGCTTCATGGCCAATACTCTGCCCGTACCAAACAAGCTGACGTAGACAAAACCCGTACCCATCAGTGGCTACGTAGTGCAGGGTTGAAAGCGGGAACTGAAGGTTTTATCCTTGCTGCACAGGACCAATGCTTGCTAACTAGGAATTATCAAGCACATATACTAAAATATTGTGTCAGCCCAAAATGCAGATTCTGTGATAAATATCCAGAAACGATTGATCATCTTGTATCGGGTTGTACGGTGTTGGCACCCACTGAATATAAAACCCGACATGACAGAGTTGGCCAATATCTGCACTGGAAAATCTGAAACTTCTACGGGAAGGAAACTGAAAAAAACTGGTATGAACACCACCCAGATTCGGTTACGGAGATAGGACCTGTTACAATTCTATGGGACTACACAATACACACTGACAGAACAATCAAGGCCAACCGGCCAGATATTGTTATTAAAGACCACAAACAAAAACGCTGCCTCCTTATTGATATGGCAGTCCCTGCTGACTACAATGTATCTTTGACGATATTCAAAAAGTTGTCAAAGTACAAGGACATTGAAATAGAAATCTCGAAAATGTGGCATATGGGAACATCAACAATGCCTGTTGTAGTTGGAGCCCTAGGACTGGTTGGAAAAGATTGCAGTAGACTAATTGAAGGGATTCCTGGAAGTCCATGCCTCAAGAAGATACAAAAATTGTTCTGACAAGTACAGCCCACACTTTACGAAGGGCTTTATCTATGTAATTTAATTTTTTTTTTGTCAGTGGAAAGTGTCATGACGTCATTTCTAACCTTAGGTCCCTGGGCGGGACCCGGAAAGAAATGTGTAAACGGCAGAAATCAAAGAAAATATTAAGAAGAAGAAGAATTATGACCGGTCTAACACCATCACCACTACTACGATAAGAGTACAGTCTTTCTCCTTTCTTTTCTTTACGTAATAATAATAATAATAATAATAATAA